GGCATATTAGTCATCTGATTACTAGTTCCTTTTTTATTTTGGGTGGCTTTATTTCTCGCTTCACTAAGCTGTAACTTCAAAAGTTGACAAGTCATATCTTCAACACTCTTTCTTTCTTTAGTTTTATTTTCAACATATCGCTTAATGTGAAAGATTAAATTTGTTTTCCACTGTGCTGAATCCGGGTTAATATTATCTGGGTTGTCTTCAATCTTTGAGCGTATTGTTTCTGGTAAACCATTCAAAATAGCTGCTCTAAAAGGCATGACTTCACTGACCTTGTGAGGGTGTCTTCCTACTGTGTCCATCCACTTGGTCACACTCCTGTCATAAAATACAAGTGGGTCCTCAGACTCCAGCCAAGTTAACTCACGAGGGGCAGAAGACAGCGGAGTTGGAAAGTTTTCCCTCAGTGCTTCATACCAGGCATTTGCATATTGGCCAAATCTGGAAGAATCACAAACATCAGCAGTACCAGCTTGTCTTTCAATAGCGTCTCTCTCCCAAGGTTTACTGCATGCTGCCATCACTGCCCGGACGTCACCCCATCGCGACATCATGACCTGTAAACCATGTGTTCAGACTGGAAATCCAGTTTCCAGCTCCCTGACACAATGGAGGCATTTTGTCTTTTATAGTCTGCATGTCACTTACAGAAAAAGGATGGTACTCCCCAGCTGCGCCTCGTCCTGGTCTCAGAGGGAACATGGATTTTGTCTGAGACCTGGTTCTGCTTGCCACCGGTCTAGTTTCTCCAGGCTCCTGGTCTCCGTCATCACTACTGTCAGAAGAGAATTTAGCTCCTTTTTTAGCCTGTTTAGCTTTAATTGCTGGTGGGGCCATGGCACCGTCTCCCTTGTCACTTTCACTGTCCGTCCTAGTCATGGCTCTGCGTGCGGCTTTATTAATTAATTTTGCATTCTCCTGTCTAGCGGTCTCGTAATCATGGGTCCTACTTGCGGTTTCTTCTCTCTCAACTCTGTCTGTGGTGCATTCAAAGGTCGGTTTCCTAGCTCTAATATTTCTGAGAGAGTGCAGGAGCTCCTCTTGAATAGATGGGGGTTGGTGAGGGGTGTGTGGGAGCTGTGGCGGGCTGCTGACAGCTGGATTTTGACTCGGATCTCTATTGTCCCCCACAGACTCCTCTTCTGTCCCTTCGTCAAATTCACTGTCTACAAAGTCATTGTCCCCTCTCTTTCTTACCGCCACTTCTCCTGAAAATGTATATTGTGGCAATATTAGATTTGGCTTACCTGGTTCTAAACCTAGAGAGTACTTTGGTGGAGCCGTGGGTAGGGATGGGTATATATTACTCACCGGCATTGCTCCGTTTTCTGTTTCCTTGTCTTTACTTACCATCGGTAATTTTGCCAACGCCGTGGCAGCCAAAGCAAAATTATGTACCTTGGTCCTCAGTTTCTCAGCCTTTTTTAGTTTCTTTTTAATTTTTCTACGCTCATTCCAACTCTCTCCTTGCTTTCCCTCAAGCTCAAGTTTATCCTGTTTTAAATTATTTTCCTCTTCCCGCAATATCTTAGCCAATGCGGACGCTGTCATATACTCAGGTATGACCCTTTTGTTCTGTATTTTTTCCCATGCTTTCACAGCCTTTCGTTTTGCCTTGTTCCTATATTTTTTATCCAGACCACTCAGAATCTGAGCCTCTATTTCTCTATATAGCTGCTCGATTGGAATGCCTGTCTCCATTTTTCGGGGGGGCCCAAAATTCCCCCAGGTTCCAATGGGTTAAACCTAACTTGTGTGTTGACGCGTCCGTCAACCACGCTAGTCACAGCGGGCTTTCCTGTTTCTGGCAAGGCTTCTCAAAAAATCTTTACTTTTAATATATTCTCGCAGGGTTCTAACTACTTTTTAGGCTTTTACTATTTTTACTTTTTGAATTAGCTCCTCCGTGGACAAAACTTCTCTCCCCTTAATTTGTTTAGTCCAATATGCAGATTTTTAATTAGTCAAAAGGTATCTGCTTACCTTCAGTTCAGCGGCCGCTTTGAGGAGAGACGCAGAGTCCAAGGGAAGGCGAAAAGTCATCAAAGGGATCACGTCGAGGGTCACCAATTATCGTATTAAAAAATGACGTGTTCAAAATCCCTTATAAAGATGACCAGGATTCAGAAAGTTAAATTCAAAAAAGGTTTATTTCCCTAATACAAAAGAATCTAACACAACGACCTGGACCAACTTTAACTATCCCTTATTCCCTATATAAAGTATAAAGTATAACTTTGGTGGGCGCTCCACGCAAAGTCACACTGCTGTCCCTGATCCAGTCTAGTCTAAAAAAAGCATGAGGTTATTTAAGCAAATGTGCATGAAGAAGGGGGCGTGTCGTTTCTCTCGGGTCCCGGGTCCGGCCTCCATCATGTCTTCTCCGTCTCGCCAGACCTAGACATAATCATTCACACACTCCCCCTCCCCAGCCTATAGATTTATTGGTTCCTTTGAGATAAGGCAGAAAGCTCTCCTTCTTTCACAACTTGAAAAGATTAGCAGAATCCCCCCAGATTAACTATCATTAACTCACCCATGCACTTTGGACAAAATGGGACAAGGGGAGTAGGGCAATACAAGGTCTTTCTTTTTGCTTGGAGACAGACAGAGTTCAATTTCAGGTCAATCTAATTCACATCGCCTTTTAGCCTATATTTAATACAACATGGCCCAATCCGGCTTTTCTCCCTAAAGTCATCACTTCGGCCTTCAGGTCGAGAGTGATCAGGATTAGGGCTTTTCATCCGCCGCCGCATGCCTCCCTCGATGAGGAGCGACGGCACCTTCTGTGTCCTGTCAGAATGCTGAGGCGTTACCTGGCCATGACATCTTCATTCAGGTTGGTTGATCAGCTGTTTGTGTGTCTGGGCCCCAAGAACAGGGGCGCCCCGCTGTCGTCTCAGCGGCTGTTACCTATGTAACTTAAGTTCTACGAATAGGTGCGTAGTCCCTTAGCTACGAGCCCATCAGGCCAGCCCGGCTTGGCAGAGTTCAAGAGGGGGCGCGGCTATGGAGCAGGGGCTTTTATAGATGAGGGTCGCTAGTGATTGGAGCCTTTTTTTGTTTGATCTCTCTGGCGTCTGTGACCTGGGGGTCACGTGATATCCCACTAGCGAAGTCCACTAAGGGACTACGCACCTATTCGTAGAACTTAAGTTACATAGGTAACTATTAATTACGTATTGTTCATGTGTGAGTCTGTTGTGTACACACTACACAATTTGCCTCCTGTTGTGTTAACACTGTCTTTGTGCATGTGGTTTGTGATGTTGACACTTTGCTGCTATGACGCTGGACTTCTACATAATTATTTTTCTAAAAGATTGTTGTTTGGATCGTTCTTTTACATAACTGGACCTCCATGGTTCTTTTGTATAACTGTGGTCCTTCATGGTCCCTCCTTCCAACTTGTGGAAAGCAACATCAGTAGCTCATGTGAAAAGAAAACGCGTTTCTTGCTTCCTTTTTGTCCCTTAGCCCACTACTGTTTTCAAAAAACATGGTGGAGGTAAATATTCTTAAAAAGGTCACATTTGTTATTAGTTAACCTGCTTTTTGCATATGGAGCAGCTGTAAAAATTACATAGGGTGGCTTTAAAAACCAATCGGAGAAAATGTGAAACTATTTGCAGATGAGAACTATTTACAGAAACATGATCATAAGAAGGGTTTTACATTACAATGTTAATATTATATTTGAATGCTGCGCACTCCAGTGTTACACTGTAACAGCTGATCACAGGTCTCTCTAAACATGCTGTAAAACACCTGCAGTCAGTTCACAACACTGCAGCTTGGGTCTTGACTTGAACCAGGAAGTACCACATTATTCTTGATCTCAGGTCTCTGCTTCCTGTGGCTCAGAGAATAGACTTTAAAACAGCTCTGTTTGTTACAAGTCTCACCATGGCCTCAAATGGCCATCTGTGACATGTTAGTGCCATATGAACCAAGTCTGAGGAGCACAGGGACTGGCCTCCTGCTGGTGCCCAGCTAAAACTAATAATCTAGAACAGTCTTTCTGAAAATGTGAGACAGGCTTCTTCTCTGACAGTGTTCAAATCCAGGTTAAAAAACAACATCAACTGAAGCATTATTTCTTTATTCATTTTAATACACTGTGATTATTTATGTGTTCGGGGCAGTGAGGAAGCCTCAGTCCTGGGTCTACAGCATAGACTGTATATATTAACGGACGTAGTCACGCCTATCTCCGCCGTTCCAACTAATGGGCCAAAAATTGGGCTTTCATGGAGTGATTCAAAATGGCCGCGGGGGCTGGAAAATGTGAAAAAAAGCATCTGCACATGCGTCAGTCTGCACGAGCCCCATTCATTTGAACGAGTGACTTCAAAAATTCACAGCAAGTAAACTAGACTGGTTCAAAAAAATTCACCCCCCTCAGAATTGACACACATGTGGAACGGAGCTTTGGGCCAAGAGCCAACTTTTGGACCATCCTTAAAGGTGTTTTCGAGGGGTAAGAAGATGCTATATGTTAGCATTGGCTAATTCTTCTTCTGGGTCCACCCCCATCGGCCCGGGGTGGTATTGCAAGCATGTCAGCGCACGTCATTTTGGCCACTTTTGAGCTGGGACCCTCCCCCACTGGTCTAGAGTCTCAATCTGAACCTGCACTAAACCAAGACTAGAAACTAGTTGTAGTTTCTCTCTGCTCCACGTGAAGGCGCCCCACTCAGCAGTTTAATTGCTCTTTGGACTACACTGAGTGTAGTTTGTGTGTGTACAGTATGTGTCAAAGCACAAAAAAACATAAAGCACAAATAATGTTTTGATAAATGCTTTATTTATTTATTGAACTGGAACATTTCTGTAAATGCATCAGGTTCATCTGTCGCTCTGAAGAAGGTCACAACCTGAAACACACACAATTCTACTTACTAATGTTTTAACATGCAAACACACACAAACACACGCACGTACACATAAAAATATACAAACACACAAACACACTTCTGTTCTCAGCTTCATTATCCTCGACGTTCATGAGGTGCCATCAGCTCTGAAGAAAAGACAGCAACAACATCAGAAATCAGTGTTCTACAGCAGGAGGAGAGAGGAGGCTCCAGACCTCCTCCAGGAGCAGGAGGAGAGAGGAGGCTCCAGACCTCCTCCAGGAGCAGGAGGAGAGAGGAGGCTCCAGACCTCCTCCAGGAGCAGGAGGAGAGAGGAGGCTCCAGACCTCCTCCTGGAGCAGGAGGAGAGAGGAGGCTCCACACCTTAGATAGTTATATCGACAAATTGTGTGTTGTTGGTGAATCCACACATTTGTAAAGTCTCAGAGACACAAATAAATTGAGTTGATCTGAATAGAATGAGTTACAGTTGTTACCGTTGTTCAGCTTCACGTCTCTGCGTCTGCGTCCGTGATTTCCCATGGGTCCTGGCAGCCCTGAAGAGACCCCCCCATCATCGTCGTCGTCGTCGTCGTCGTCGTCGTCGTCGTCGTCGTCGTCGTCGTCGTCGTCGTCGTCGTCGTCGTCGTCGTCGTCGTCGTCGTCGTCGTCGTCGTCGTCGTCGTCGTCGTCGTCATCAACAAAAGCGTGGCCCAAACACAGGCCTCCTCTCATCAGCTCAACTGGCTCCTCTCTACTCTGAGCTCCACCCTCTTTCTTCAAGGGACCAGTCTCAGACCAGGACCTGAGAGGACGAGGACCCGAGAGGACCAGGACCCGAGAGGACCAGGACCCGAGAGGACCAGGACCCGAGAGGACCAGGACCCGAGAGGACCAGGACCCAAGAGGACCAGGACCTCCGTGCTCACTGCTGGTATGTGTATGCACGCTGCAAGTCTGCTCTGCTGCAGCTCTCATTTGCGTTTGGGACATTACCATAAAACTGTGAACTCAGGTCCACATCTCTGCGTCTGCGATGACGAGATCCAGGTTCTCCTTTCATCAGCTCTGAAGAAAAGACAACAACATCAATCATCAGTCCAGGAATCGAGCATATTTAACAGCAGGAGCCGGAGGAGAGAGGTGGCTCCAGACCTCCACCGGGACTGGACCTGGTGAAGGTCTCAGTGTTTGGAGGTACTGTAGTTACCAGAGTCCTGAGGCGCCAGGTCCACGCTTCTCTGATGACAAGGATGAGATTCTTGTCTCATCAGCTCTGAAACAAAGAAAACATACAGAACGTCACATGAACAAGAACAAGGTGCAGGTTCTACAGCAGGAGGAGGTCCAGCTTTTTCTCCCCTGGCGGTACCGCACTCAGAGCAGATACCCAGAGGAGCAGCAGGAGCAGGGCAGGAGGCCCGAGCAGAACCATTGTGCTGGTCTGAGGAGGTGCAGGTTCGAGGAGGTACAGGTCTGAGGAGGTGCTGGTCTGAGGAGGCGCGGGTTCAGACAGTGATAATCACCTCTTGTGGATCTAGTTTGACCAGATGTGAAACTGGGTTAGGAGGAGGTGAAACTGGGTTTGGAGGAGGTGAAACTGGGTTTGGAGGAGGTGAAATTGGGTTTGGAGGAGGTGAAACGAGGTGAAACTGGGAGTGAAGTTGTTCTAGTAAGTTTTTCTTACAAGAACAACTGAAGTTGTTGAAGTAAGGTGTTGTCAACCAATAGAGGCTCTGTACCACCACGTGACCTACACAGAGCATCACAGTAAATCACATGAACCAATAGGTGGAGACAGTCCAAAGATTCAACAACACTCTTATTTGTTTGATGAAGGCGAAACGCCGAAACATTGCGCTCCCAATTAATCCTTTTTATTTGGCAAATAAGACAGTGTGTAGGAATCATTCTTTCTATTCAACTGTAGTCCATACATGCCTCTCCTGAGCACCCGATCTGAAGATACTGATGTGCGAATCCTTACTCCAGTGTATTTAACACTGCCTTCACACTATACGAGAGCACCCTTTATTTAGACCTGATTTTGGAGTGATGGGAAAGTTTTGCTGCGTTTTTTATTGTGGAAAACGCTCAGAGCGAGACCATAATAGCTGTCTATCCGCCGTAGCTTCAGCAAAGTGGTGATTAGGACTCTATTTTGGAAATCGTTTTTCAATGGACATTTATGGATTCAATGCATGAATTACTTAGATCTGATGAAGTCTAAAGGGAAGAACAGTGATTAATGTATCATTTGACGCCCACGGGCCATTTTTATTAATTTTTTTATGTTCTTTGTACGAGCAAATGTATTTTGGTCATCAAAACCTATAAGCTGTATATCATTTTAAAGCTTATTTTCTCATCTACATTTATATACAAGTGTAAGCAATACTAGAAGTTACTCTAAAAAGATATAAAACACAATACAAAGCCAGAAAAAAATATCCACTTGGCCGTTATTTTTCCCTCTTTGCTAAAACTAAGGTAGATTTGGCCCTAAACACTGGGCATGTTTGTAATCTTCTTAGCTAAATAACGAAACCTTTGCTGAAGCTGTATGTTCTTTAGTTTTATTTTAAAAATCAATCCACTGCGCCTCACTTCACTTAGCATAGTTATAGCAACCTATCTTGCTAGAACTATGGATTACAGCTGGTATTTTGAAAAATTAGACATTTTTGTCTCGCTCTGAGCATTTTCCACAGTTAAAAACACAGCAAAACTTTCCCAAGTCAGGTTTAAGTAAAGCTTGCTCTTGTATAGTAATAATAATAATAATAATCATCATTATTCTGGACTCAAGGTCCATACAAGAGACAACACAGTACCAGTGTACCAGTGTTCCCAGAACTGAGAAATACAGCGTGTTGTACTGAACTTGACATTCACCAAAACAACAACAACCAGGTTCACAGTTTAATCGGCGAATAAAACTAAACATTGCTTTTCTCAGGACAGACTTCAGTGTGTTCACTCTGCTGCTCACGAACAACTCACTCGCATGAGTCGATCTGGGCTTCTTTACACACCAAAGCATACAACAAACAACAAACGATACTGCCGAATAATGTCCTCATCATCTGTCAGCCGATCTGTGATCAGATGGCCAAGATATTTAATTTCACTACAGATATTAAGAACCTTTCCAGCGAGTCGAAACGGCGGAAAGATTAAATGTCTGTCCTCTGTGGTTCTGCAGATCATAATGGCACTTTTGGAATCATTGTACTTTACATCATGATTTTCCCCAAACACTGAACATATACTAAGATAAGAAGTTGCTGCAGACCAGCTGAGCTCGGACTAAAAATGACACAATCATCTGCATACATTAGATGGTTCAGCATTGTGCTGCCGACCATGCAGCCAGTTTTACATGAGTTAAGACTATGAGATAATTCATTCATATAAAAATTAACTAAGATGGGGGATAAGATGCTCCCTTGTCTTACTCCATTACTCACATGAAAGGGAGCAGACAAGCAGCTGTCTCATTTCACTTGCATGGTCTGTTGGGCATACCAATATGACAGGATTCTGACAATGTATTGAGGAACACCTACTGCAACCAATTTCTTGAATAGTTTCCAGTGATTCACTCGGTCAAATGCCTTAGACACATCTAAGAAACATATAAAAACAGTTGAGTTTTTGCTCCTATAGTTGTTCAAAAGTTCCTTTAGAACATAAATACACATATCCGTAGAATGTTTTGCTTTAAAACCAAACTGATTATCTGTAGATATAATCAGTTCATTAATCCTCTCTAGGAGAATTAGTTCCACAACTTTGGATAAAATATCAGCTAGAGCTATAGGTCTATAGTTATCTGAGGAGTCCACTTTTCCTGCTTTATCTTTAATTACAGGAGTCAGTGTCACAGACATCATTAAATCTGGAAAATAGCCGTGGATCATAAAGGCAGTGAAACAGAGTGCCAGTAACATACGCAGCTTTGGGCTCGCATGTTTGAGTTGTTCAGCAGAGATAGAGTCTGGGCCAGTTAATTTATTAGCTGCCAAGTTTGAAATGGCTTTAGAAACCTCATTGTATGTGATTTCCTCAATAAAATCAACACTGTCTGCTTCAAAGCGTTTAGTCTGATTACAATTAAACAGTTTACAATAATGCTTACGCCAGAGCTCAGCAATTGCATTTGCACCAGAGACTCCATCCACTGAACATGGCAGTGAAGGTTTGCAGTTATTTGTGCGTTTCACTTCTTTCCAAAAATCATTGTTTGTGTTATCTAAAAGTCTGTTGGCCATAGACTCTGCCCTCAGACGCTGCTCATTCTTACAATTGAAACGTATTGCATATTTACATTTTGCATTTGTGCTCTTCTTATGTTCAAAAATGGGCCCTTGTCTTGGCTTTCCAGCTATAGCCCATGATCTAGTGGCTTCACGAGCCCCTGCATAGTGTGATGGCAGTGTTCTAACATCTAACATGGCCGTGTAGAGACGGTTGCTATGTAAAGTCACATGTGCAAAACAGCTAAAACGGATATCTTATAATCAACTCATTTCATATGTTCCAGTCTGGCTTTAGACCCCACCACAGCCTGAGACTGCTGTTGTCAAAGTAACAAACATTATCGAACTGAACACTGATCTTAGATCAGGACTATGTGGTAGAGGACTCTGTGGTCCTCACAGAGACTAGTGGACTAGATAGGTGTCGCTGGCACGACCTGTTTGTTTCTGTTGTAGCTAAATTGTAGTTCCTTGTGAGGGCGCCACTCAGTACTAGACCAGGACTAAACCAAGACTAGACTAGGACTGAAACAAAAGTCTGTGTGTGTGTGTCTTTGTGTTGTGTGTGTATAAAAGACAGCAGACGTGTAACATTATATTACTTTAATATCTTTTGTACAGTGTAATTACAAACATGTGTTTGATACAAAACAGCTGTAAATGAGTTTGTTTTCTTCCTGTTTAAATAAAGTAATTGCTCTCCCTCTTCCCGTTTAATTAAACTTCTACAATCAGTTCGGGGGCTGCCATGTTCAAGAACTCGGGACACGGATCTTCTGAAACTAATGCTCTGAAGCTAATGCACAAGTGCTTTATCCAGAGCTGGGCGTGTAAGCTTAGCATTTATCAATACAAAGAAATACTGTTGTTTTTACTGCATCAAGCTAATGTTAACATTAAAACATCATTAATCCTAACACAAACAATTTGTTCAGGGCTGTGGTTGTTAGCTTACCGTTTAAATAATAAGATCCTATTGTTTTTACTGTAGCAAGCTTATGCTATAATTTCTTTCTGTTAAGTTTATTTATTTTCTCATTATTCCATATTTCTGTTTTCAACTGGGGGAAAGCTTTGTGAAAGAAAATCTTGATCAAAACCCATAATATATTGGAGAGAAGAGAGAGGTGAGAAAGGAGAGAAGAGACAGAAGAGACAGGAGAGAGGGGAGAGAGGAGAGAAGAGAAAGGAGAGAGAGGGGAGAGAGGAGAGAGAGGGGAGAGAAGAGAAAGGAGAGAGAGGGGAGGAGAGAAAGGAGAGAGAGGAGAGGCGAGAGAGAGGGGAGAGAGAAGAGAGAGAGAAGAGAAAGGAGAGAGGAGAGAGGAGAAAGAAGAGAGGAGACACAGGAGAGAGAGGAGAGAGGGGGGAGAAGGAGGACAGATCCAGGTGAAGCACTGAAGTCTAGATCTGCATCCTGTCACTATCAAGGTTTTCCCAAAGACCTGGAACCTGTTCCCAAGGTCCCGAGTGTGAACGCTTGTGTTGCCCCCGACAGGCGCTGTGGTTACCTTGTGGTTACCCTGTGGTTGCCGGGGTAAAGCTGGGCACAGTGAGTTTTGGTGCTTTTGTTTGTGGTAAATATTCACACTGAGAGAGAGATCTGCAGACATAGGCCCTGATGAGAGAGTCTGTGTTTGTGTATACTGTATGTGTGTGTATGTGTATATGTGTATATGTGTATACGTGTATATGTGTGTATGTGTGATGTGTGTGTGTGTATTTGCAACAGGGTCCATGTTTTTTGGTTAAAGTTGTCATTCATGCTGTCATCACAATACTACTCAAATAAATAAGATACAAATCAAACAGTTCTTAAAACACTGCGTTAAAATATAATTAATAATAATAATAATAACAATAATTATAAATATAATACAAAATAAATAAAGTACATTTGGCCGTTTGTCGCTCAGGGTCCAAAGAAAGAAGATGGAATGAGTTTTTAAAGAAATAAAGAAAATTAACGAGGTTCATAAATCTGAGCGGCGTCTGCCATTGTTAAAGAAAGTTTAAAGAAACAAGAGTTTAAAAGTGCTGTTTGTAGAAAAAAACACAACAATGTAATGTTTTTCAATCTATTTGCAACAAACAAGCTGATTGTGGCTCCATCTACGGGTCGGGTCTCACTCGGGTCGGGTCTCTCTCGGGTCGGCTCTCTCGGGTCGGGTCTCACTCGGGTCGGGTCTCTCTCGGGTCGGGTCTCTCTCCTCTCTCGGGTCGGCTCTCTCGGGTCGGGTCTCTCTCGGGTCGGTCTCACTCGGGTCGGGTCTCACTCGGGTCGGGTCTCACTCGGGTCGGGTTTCACTCGGGTCGGGTCTCACTCGGGTCGGGTCTCACTCGGGTCGGGTCTCTCTCGGGTTGGGTCTCTCTCCTCTCTCGGGTCGGGTCTCTCTCGGGTTGGGTCTCTCTCCTCTCTCGGGTCGGGTCTCTCTCGGGTTGGGTCTCTCTCCTCTCTCGGGTCGGGTCTCACTCGGGTCCGGTCTCTCTCCTCTCTCGGGTCGGGTCTCACTCGGGTCGGGTCTCACTCGGGTCGGGTCTCTCTTGGGTCGGGTCTCTCTTGGGTCGGGTCTCTCTCGGGTCGGGTCTCTCTCCTCTCTCGGGTCGGGTCTCTCTCCTCTCTCGGGTCGGGTCTCTCTCCTCTCTCGGGTCGGGTCTCTCTCCTCTCTCGGGTCTGGTCTCCCTCGGGTCTGGTCTCTCTGGGCGGCTGGGTGTGACACAAACAGCTACGGAGCTAAAGTTTCCTTTTACATGTAAGTCAATAGGAGCCAGAGCGAGGAGCCAAACTTCACCATGAGTAACCCGCTGCTGTGACCTAAAGTGCTGCTGCTGCTGTTGCATTTTAATACTATTGTTATAATTATCAATTTATTTGTTTTGTTGGTTTGGATGGATGTGTTTCTGCTGCTACAAGACACCTGCATTTCTCCTACGGGGATCAATAAAGAATCAATCTATACCAGCAGCACTTCCCTATTGAGCTTCATTGAGCTAAAGGATAGCATTGCGCTAGCAGGTTAGCATTGTCCTGTGTACTCTCCACGGCAGAGCTAGGCAATTCTTATGTCGCCATTTTGTGGGCTGGAGTTGTTATGGTGCAGTGACCATTAAAATAAATTTGGCAAAAAAAGAGACAGAGAGGAAACAGGAATTTAACAAATCCACAAACTGTACTTTAAAATCCTTAAAAAATGGTTTTTGCAAAGTTCCAGACAATTCCCGACGCCGCCAGAGTTTAAAACATTCCATTTGCATCCCATAATATTCCTGCGGTCGCTTTGGAGTCGTCACAGCTCGATTTCAAAAGTCTTCTGCAGGCTGTTGGAGAAAGGGTTAGCAGCATTAGCATTAGCGTTAGCAGCAGCATTCGTAGCACTAGCAGCATTGGTCCCAGCTTTGGTCTCCAGCGCTGCCCACTTGGCCTCAAACCGCTCATCATCCTTCGCCGAGCTCGTGGTCAGCTGACTCCCCTCAGGCGGCCATGTTGTGCCGGCATTTGCACCGTTCACTAACCCAACTGCACCGCAATTAGCTGTTAGCACTGCGGTTGCCGTGGTGACCCCGCAGGACTGGCTTGCTCCCGTTCGACTGGAGGAGGATGGTGTTGCGGTGCAGAAGACGTTAGCCACCATCTGCGACGGCGTGATCCCCACCACGGGCACCACGTTCGGGAACGCTGCGGCGCTAGATAACCGCGGAGTGTAGCCCGGCACCGGCACGAGCGCAGGCTGCAGAGGCGGGCTCCCGTACACTGGGGCTGCGTCAAAGGACAGCGGGAACGGCTGTGGGAGGAGCATCGGAGCTGCCGTGGTCATGGTCGCCGTCATGGTCGGGACGCACATGGACGGGAGAGACATGGGAGGTCCCACCATCGACGGGAGAGACATGGGAGGTCCCACCATCGACGGGAGAGACATGGGAGGTCCCACCATCGACGGGAGAGACATGGGAGGTCCCACCATCGACGGGGGAGACATGGAGGGTCCCGCCATCAATGGACCAGGGATCAGAGGGACACACGGGAGAGACAGAGGTGGGAACTGGGCGGAGGGGACGCCCCTGGAGGAGGGAGGGGCTGGCAGGGGGGGGATGGTGGTGCTCCCCGCAGAGGGAGGAGTCTGCTGAGGTCTCACGGCGTTGGACACTTCCTGTAACCATCGCTCGGCCTCAGACGGCGTCCGCTTGTGTCCGTGAGTGAACGGAGCCGAGGGAACAACCGGAGGGGACACAGGGACGTCCGGCTGCACCCAGGACGAGGACACTGAGGGAAGACCAGAAGAGGACGTGAAACCAGGACCATCTCACGCATAGACTGTGTGAGGAGTGGACTGTGTGTGACATCGCCTTAACCCTTAAAAGACGATGCCATCGCCTTTTAAGATGGTTGCGCACATGTTTTACAAGTGAAGTACACATTCCAGCCTTTCCGAAACTTCAGTTTGTCTGTGCTACGTACGGAGGATAAACTACGTGTGTATGAAAGTCAGTCCCCCAATCGGATCTCCTCTTTATACTACAAAGAGATTTCCTGGTTACCAATAGTGTCCTGGTTCGATCCTCGCGCACAGACCCAGAGGAGCGTGGCAGACCGGTAGGTGTGTAAATTTATGCTTGAACGTGTTTCTAATCCGCACAAGTGTGCACTTTGGCGAACTAGTAACTGAGGCGAGAAACGGACGAGAAAACGGACGAGAAAACGGACGAGAAAATGGACGATGCGTCTAGATGTTACGTATGAATGGAAGGAGGGGCGAGCATGCGCGAGTGTGTGTGTGCGTGCTGGTGTGTGTGGTGTGTGCCGGTGTGTGTGTGCGTGCCGGTGTGTGTGTGCATGCTGGTGTGTGTGTGCGTGCTGGTGTGTGTGTGCGTGCTGGTGTGTGTGTGCGTTCTGGTGTGTGTGTGTGTGTGTGCGTGCTGGTGTGTGTGCGTGCTGGTGTGTGTGGTGTGTGTGTGCGTGCCGGTGTGTGTGTGCGTGCCGGTGTGTGTGGTGCGTGCTGGTGTGTGTGTGCATGCTGGTGTGTGTGTGCGTGCTGGTGTGTGTGTGTGTGCGTGCTGGTGTGTGTGCGTGCTGGTGTGTGTGCGTGCTGGTGTGTGTGTGTGCGTGCTGGTGTGTGTGGTGTGTGCCGGTGTGTGTGTGCGTGCTGGTGTGTGTGTGCATGCCGGTGTGTGTGGTGCGTGCTGGTGTGTGTGTGCGTGCTGGTGTGTGTGTGCGTGCTGGTGTGTGTGTGTGTGCGTGCTGGTGTGTGTGTGTGCGTGCTGGTGTGTGTGTGCGTGCTGGTGTGTGTGGTGCGTGCTGGTGTGTGTGTGCGTGCTGGTGTGTGTGTGCGTGCTGGTGTGTGTGCGTGCTGGTGTGTGTGCGTGCTGGTGTGTGTGCGTGCGTGCTGGTGTGTGTGTGTGTGCGTGCTGGTGTGTGTGTGTGCGTGCTGGTGTGTGTGTGTGCGTGCTGGTGTGTGTGCGTGCTGGTGTGTGTGTGCGTGCTGGTGTGCGTGCGTGCTGGTGTGTGTGCGTGCTGGTGTGTGTGTACGTGCTGGTGTGTGTGTGTGCGTGCTGGTGTGTGTGTGTGCGTGCTGGTGTGTGTGTGTGCGTGCTGGTGTGTGTGTGTGCGTGCTGGTGTGTGTACGTGCTGGTGTGTGTATGTGCGTGCTGGTGTGTGTGTGTGCGTGCTGGTGTGTGTGCGTGCTGGTGTGTGTGCGTGCTGGTGTGTGTGCGTGCTGGTGTGTGTGTGTGCGTGCTGGTGTGTGTGCGTGCTGGTGTGTGTGTGTGTGGTGTGTGTGTGTGTGCGTGCTGGTGTGTGTGCGTGCTGGTGTGTGTGTGTGCGTGCTGGTGTGTGTGTGCGTGCTGGTGTGTGTGGTGCGTGCTGGTGTGTGTGCGTGCTGGTGTGTGTGTGCGTGCTGGTGTGCGTGCGTGCTGGTGTGTGTGCGTGCTGGTGTGTGTGTACGTGCTGGTGTGTGTGTGTGCGTGCTGGTGTGTGTGTGTGCGTGCTGGTGTGTGTGTGCGTGCTGGTGTGTGTGCGTGCTGGTGTGTGTGGGTGCTGGTGTGTGTGTGTGCTGGTGTGTGTGTACGTGCTGGTGTGTGTGTGTGCGTGCTGGTGTGTGTGCGTGCTGGTGTGTGTGTGTGCGTGCTGGTGTGTGTGTGCGTGCTGGTGTGTGTGGTGCGTGCTGGTGTGTGTGCGTGCTGGTGTGTGTGTGTGCGTGCTGGTGTGTGTGTGTGTGTGCGTGCTGGTGTGTGTGTGTGCTGGTGTGTGTGTGCGTGCTGGTGTGCGTGCGTGCTGGTGTGTGTGTACGTGCTGGTGTGTGTGCGTGCGTGCTGGTGTGTGTGTGTGCGTGCTGGTGTGTGTGTGCGTGCTGGTGTGTGTGCGTGCTGGTGTGTGTGAGTGCTGGTGTGTGTGTGTGCGTGCTGGTGTGTGTGTACGTGCTGGTGTGTGTGTGTGCGTGCTGGTGTGTGTGTGTGTCGTGCTGGTGTGTGTGTGTGCGTGCTGGTGTGTGTGCGTGCTGGTGTGTGTGCGTGCTGGTGTGTGTGTGTGGGTGCTGGTGTGTGTGCGTGCTGGTGTGTGTACGTGCTGGTGTGTGTGTGTGCGTGCTGGTGTGTGTGTGCGTGCTGGTGTGTGTGCGTGCTGGTGTGTGTGTGTGCGTGCTGGTGTGTGTGTGTGCGTGCTGGTGTGTGTGTGTGTGTACTGGTGTGTGTGTGTGCGTGCTGGTGTGTGCGTGTGCGTGCTGGTGTGTGTGCGTGCTGGTGTGTGTGTGTGCGTGCTGGTGTGTGTGTGCGTGCTGGTGTGTGTGTGCGTGCTGGTGTGTGTGTGCGTGCTGGTGTGTGTGTGCGTGCTGGTGTGTGTGTGCGTGCTGGTGTGTGTGTGCGTGCTGGTGTGTGTGTGCGTGCTGGTGTGTGTGTGCGTGCTGGTGTGTGTGTGCGTGCTGGTGTGTGTGTGCGTGCTGGTGTGTGTGTGCGTGCTGGTGTGTGTGTGCGTGCTGGTGTGTGTGTGCGTGCTGGTGTGTGTGTGCGTGCTGGTGTGTGTGTGCGTGCTGGTGTGTGTGTGTGCGTGCACACTGGCATGAGAAGGACTGGTCTATGTGAAGTACGCTTTCTAACTCGAGTGATTGTAGCATTTCTGATATTTGTACCGCATGCGTACCTGCGTACCACTTATGTGCACCCCTGGATATAGACACTAATAAATACAGAAAAATGATATAATGTGTATATAATGTATTTATATATATATATAAGATGTTTTATGTATTTTTTTGTCTTATTTTCTTTTGTTCTACGTATTTTACAGCTGTCATAATGAAGCAACCACAGCCTCATAGATAAACTGCTTGAGGAAGGGCATCAGAAATACAGCGTTTTTGGCTTTTATAGTGGAATTATGTAAAAAGTATAATAGTCACAGGTTAAATTTTTTCCCGATTATCCCCAAGACCCTAAATAACATTTCTATGCAGTCTAAAAAGTTGTTTATAGCATTTCATTGTGTTTTTTCAATACATTTTTGTTTTCCGTTTCATTTTTTTCTTTGTCTTCATGATTCCATATTTTCTATATAATTGATATGACAGCTCTAAAATATGAATATTCTAAAACCCCAGGTTGTGCTGAAAAAAACAAAGTATACTGCTTGACTCTGCATCAAAAAATGACTCTTTTATGAGCAATTATACACAAAGAAAACCAGGCGAGGAAAGTTCCCCAAAGTGACCCTAGACCTTTAATGCACTATTAAGGGGCGATCACACTTCGGCGTCAAAAGCGTCAGGTTTCCATTGAAAGTGAATGGTGAAGTGCGTCAGGTGAAGCCGAGAGCCCCGGCGTCACTTGACGCACGTCAAAAGCTTCAAAAGTCGCGCGTACTACGCGCTCACTTGAAGCTTTTGACGCGCGAAACGCTTGCGTATCAAAACAATCCCTTTGACGCCGAAGCTGAGCAAAGCTGAGCTTTTGAAGCTTTGACGCGGGCTTCAACCAATCAGGAGATGAGGAGCAGCAGCAGCAGAGGGTCTGTCTCTGTCATGGAGATAAGTCATGTATCTGTTGCTGCTGTTTTATTGTCATTATTGTTATTAGTAATATTATTTGTATGAGTAGTAACATTCTGAGTAACAAAACCATTGTACACATGCTGTGTAGTAAACGTAGTTTATTTAATATAAGAAGAGGCTGACGATGAGTCTGGCTCAGAGCAAGGCAGCTCCGGGCGGGCGAGAGGCGGGCGAGAGGCGGGGAGAGGCGAGAGCGAGGTGGGGAGAGGCAGGGAGAGGCGGGGAGAGGCAGGGAGAGGCAGGGAGAGGCGAGCTCCGGGGTTTGAGAACTCAGACTGGGTGAGTGACATGCGGAAGTACCGCTGAAAGCGAAACTCCTCCGTACGCAGCTCCTGGAGTAAATGACGGAACTCTGCAAACACTGCAGCCTCTCAAGTCTGTGGTGAACCCAGAACATGTTTTGTTGAAGCCCTACAACAACGTTATTTTGCTTTATATAACAAATAAAGGCTCCCTGTGCCTGTAGCACTTACGTCTGTCGTCATGAAGTCATTTGAACGCCTGGTTCTCTCCCATCTCAAGTCCCTCACCTCCCCCCTCCTGGACCCCCTGCAGTTCGCCTACAGAGCCAACAGATCTGTAGACGACGCCATTAACCTGGCCCTCCACCACATCCTACAGCACCTGGACTCCCCGGGGACCTACGCCAGGGTCCTGTTCGTGGACTTCAGCTCTGCCTTCAACACAATCCTGCCATCCCTGCTCCAGGACAAGCTCTCCCAGCTCAACGTGCCCGATTCCACCTGCAGGTGGATCACTGACTTCCTGACGGACAGGAAGCAGCGAGTGCGTTTGGGGAAGAATGTCTCGGACCCTCGGATTATAAATACAGGAGCCCCACAGGGCTGTGTTCTTTCTCCCCTTTCTCCCCTGGGTTAGGGTAAAGTTCGCGGACGACACCACCCTCATTGGACTCATCTCCAACAACGATGAGTCCGCCTACAGGAGGGAGGTGGACCGGCTGGTGTCCTGGTGCAGTGGTAACAACCTGGAGCTGAACGCCCAGAAGACAGTGGAGATGATTGTGGACTTCAGGAAGAGCACTGTCCCCCCGCCCCCACCCTCCGTGATGGACTCCCCCATCACCTCTGTGGAGTCCTTCCGTTTCCTGGGCACCAACATCACCCAGGACCTCAAGTGGGAGCCGACCATCAGCTCCCTCATCAAGAAGGCCCAGCAGAGGATGTACTTCCTGCGGCAGCTCAGGAAAGCCAAGCTGCCTGCACAGATGTTGGTGCAGTTCTACACGGCCATCATCGAGTCCATCCTCACCTCCTCCGTCACCGTGTGGTTCGCTGGAGCCACAGTCAGGGACAAACAGAGACTACAGCGCATAGTAGTAGTCTCTGCTCTGCAGAGGAAGTGATCGGCCGCAGCCTTCCATCGCTGCAGGACCTGTACGTCGCCCGAGCTCGAGGCCGGGCTGGTCGTATCACAGCCGACCCCTCTCACCTGCACATGGACTATTAGAACCACTCCCCTCAGGCAGGAGGCTGCGGTCCATCAGGACTAGAACCTCCCGCCACAAGAACAGTTTCTTCCCCTCTGCTGTTGGACTCTTGAACACTTCTTAACCTGTCCCCCCGCCCTTTATAAAGTCACTTTACTGCCCATCATACGTCACTTTACTTCACTGTACTGCTGTCACCTTACATTGTGTGTACCATGTGCACTTGTATATTGTAAATAGTAACTGTAACTCTATTTTAAATTTAAATTTATTCTTTAGAAGTGTTTTTTATTCTTATTTTTATTATCTCTTTTTGACTGTTGCACTGAGCCAAAGCAATTTCCTAGTCTGTGACCTCCTGTTACTTACGTGGCAATAAAAATGATTCTGATTCTGATTCTGATTCTGAAAAATCCACCGCTGTCCTGACTACAGACAACAGAGAAGCTCCTCCCACCGGCGTCAGGCGCGTCACTCGCGTCAAAAGCTTCAAGCACCAAAATGACAAAACTATCCCGGCGTCAGTTAAAGCGCGTCAAAAGCTTTTTGAAGCTTTTGGTCTGAACGCGCCTTTACTGCAGTTAAAACTAAAGTTGTCGTGTGTGCTGCAGTACCGCTTTTACCCTGAGGAGGCGCTGGAGGAGGTGGCAGCAGGGGGGGTATGGTGCAGGGAGGACCTCCATTCACCGCAGCAGCAGGAAGAGGAGGATGATGATAAGGAGTGATGAAGAGCTCGTCTCTGGTGAAGGATGAGTTGATCTGAGAGCAGAGCGCATTCACGCCACCGTCTGCCTCACAGGCCACGCCCCCTTCCAGATCTGAAACACAAGATACCAGCTCCTGATTGGCTCTTTGGTCGCTAGGTTATTGTTATCACAGAATTTGGCTCCAGTTAGCGGTATACTAGAGATATTTAAAGAGACCAGAGAGAGTGAGAGACCAGAGAGACCACAGAGAGACCACAGAGAGACCAGATAGAGACCAGAGAGAGACCAGAGAGAGACCAGTGAGAGATCAGAGAGAAAGAGACCTGGGAGAGAGACCAGAGAGAGAGACCAGAGAGAGAGAGAGACCAGTGAGAGATCAGAGAGAAAGAGACCTGAGAGAGAGACCAGAGAGAGAGACCAGAGAGAGAGAGAGACCAGAGATAGCGAGACCAGGGAGAGACCAGGGAGAGAGACCAGAGAGAGAGACCAGAGAGAGAGATCTGGGAGAGAGACTAGAGAGAGAGACCTGGGAGAGAGACTAGAGAGAGACCAGGGAGAGACCATATTATGAGTAGTAAGTAGTAGTAGTAATCTTTATTTATATACCGCCTTTTCACTGCAGATCAGAGTCTCAAAGCGGTTTACAATTGTTAATTGTAAACCGTTAATAATTATGACAAGATGAATACAGATTCTTGTGTCTGATGTGTTCACAACAGTTACTACGTGTGTGATTTATGAGACTGAAGTTACAGACCCCAGCTTTAAGCACAGGGGTCAGGGCAGGGCCACAGTATCACATACACAGCTCTGCTCACTATTGTCTCGGTACAATAGACCCATCAGTCTGCAGGAGACCAGCAGAACCCAGGGAGGCAGGCCCTGATGTAAGTGCTTCTGCCTGTGCTCTACCTGTGTGTATGTATTTGCATGTTCTACCTGTGTGTATGTATTTACATGTTCTGTGTGTGTATTTACATGTTCTGTGTGTGTGTATTTACATGTTCTACCTGTGTATGTATTTACCATAGACTGTATATATTAACGGACGTATACGCCTATCTCCGCCGTTCTAACTAATGGGCCAAAAATAATGCTCTACTGGAGCTATCCAAAATGGCCACGAGTGGTCCCGCCCTCAAGAAAATTGTGAAAAAACCATAGACTGTATCTATTAACGGATAGAGTCACGCCTATCTCCGCCGTTCATAGGAGTTGGCCATGAAAAGTGCTTTCATGGAGCTATCCAAAATGGCCGCGAGTGGTCCCGCCCACAAGAAAATTGTGAAAAAACGCATCTGCGCATGCGTCAGCTGGCGCAACTCCATTAATTTGAACGAGAGACTTCAAAAATTCACAGCAAGAAAACTAGAGTGGTCCAAAAAAATCCACCCCCCTCAGCATTGACACACATGTGGAACGGAGCTTTGGGCCAAGAGCCAACTTTTGGTCCATCCTGTAAAGACGTTTTCGAGAGGTCTACCAATGCTATATGTTAGCATTGGCTAATTCTTCTTCTGGGTCCACCCCAAGCCCCGGCGATCCAAGATGGCGCCCTATTCAAATGAATGGTTGTGCTCAGTGGCGCTTTGTGACGGCATGGGGGCTGAAAGATTAGCGGAAGTCGCCTGGAACTCGCAAAGATCTATGGGAAACTCGCCTGTATTTGGGCATCGTCTGGTCCTCCTGGTTCTGCGCAGTGGATGATCTCCCATAATGCATTGCGCCAAACACGCGTGTGTGGGTCTCACACCGGGTCTCACGCACGTGCACAGAGGGGCTCGGCCGCGTTCTGACCAATCAGAGCAGTTCATCAGAGCGGGAGTTAGAGCGAGAGCCAGAAGAGCAGAGTTTTTGGCAGTAAAGTGTGGATTTAAACAAAACCGAAGGATTTAAGAAGAAAAAAAATTCAGGATGACAAGGGACACTAAAATCCCCACAAAATCTGACCTTTATGAAAGCTGTAGCTTCTCTGTCAGCTGAGGTTGAGCTGTTTTAATATGCATTGAGTTCTATGGGGAAAATTTCTGGGTAGCCCACGTGAATTTAGTCTGGTTCAGTCTGCAGTACCGCGAGAATCCCCCGAGCACATGAGTTATTCAGCTACAAGCTAGTAATACCCTATCCAGTTAATATAATAGATCCATGGTCCACCCCCATCGGCCCGGGGTGGTATTGCAAGCATGTCAGCGCACATCATTTTGGCCACTTTTGAGCCGGGACCCGCCCCCACTGATATTTGCATGTTCTACCTGTGTGTGTGTATTTGCATGTTCTACCTGTGTGTGTGTGTATTTGCATGGTCTACCTGTGTGTGTGTATTTGCATGTTCTACCTGTGTGTGTGTATTTGCATGTTCTACCTGTGTGTGTGTATTTGCATGTTCTACCTGTGTCTGTGTGTATTTGCATGTTCTACCTGTGTGTGTGTATTTGCATGTTCTACCTGTGTGTGTGTATTTGCATGTTCTACCTGTGTGTGTGTGTATTTGCATGGTCTACCTGTGTGTGTGTATTTGCATGTTCTACCTGTGTGTGTGTATTTGCATGTTCTACCTGTGTGTGTGTATTTGCATGTTCTACCTGTGTGTGTGTGTGTATTTGCATGGTCTACCTGTGTGTGTGTATTTACATGTTCTACCTGTGTGTGTGTGTGTGTATGTATTTGCATGTTCTACCTGTGTGTATGTATTTGCATGTTCTACCTGTGTGTATGTATGGAGCTATTGTGAGATTTCATAACACTTTTAAGCAACTTTTGTTAAAGTTAAACTCATCATTCTATCAATGTGCAGAAGCCAGTACTTTTCCCTTGTTTTGTCTATCTGAAGGCCAAGCTACATGGCACTGTGGCAGCTGCTGATTGGAGGTCTCCATGCCTCCGCTCTGTATAATACACTTGCATTCTGTGTTCGTGTTGTTCGTGCTGTCTCTACCATCGACAATAAAACATGTCTTCTGTCTGAATGAAAGACACGATCCCAGACTATGTCATCTTCTTCACTATTATTGTTTCAATAATATTTGTGTGTGCGTAACCAGATTTGTGTGTACATAAAAAGATTTGTGCGTGCGTAACCAGATTTGTGCGTGTGTAAATAGATTTGTATGTACGTATCAAGATTTGTGTGTGCGTAAAAAGATTTGTGTGTGCGTAGAAAGATTTGTGTGTGTGTAAAGAAAGAAAAAAGTAAGTTTTACACACAAGTTTTTTTTTTTACACACAAATCTTTTGACGCAGTCCTGCCTTCGCAGATTCGCAAGTGTAACTTGGACTGTGTGCGTCTGTACCCAGATTTGTGTGTGTGTAATTTGACATTTGTATCTGTAACAGAACAATCTGTGTGTAAATAACCACGTTGTACGAAGAGAAGAACGGAAAAAAGCCTAAGTGCTACGCACAGGCTCCGTTTTACACACAAATCTCTTTTTGACACACCTCTGCCGCCAAGCGTGTGTCAAAAAGATTCAGTGTAAATATATAAATACTGTGGTTGTTCTAGCAGTACACCAGCAGATGGTGCTGTTGTAGCTGGTTATTGACCCCTTGCATGTGACGTCCCGGCCACGCCCACTCTCCATGACAGACGGCAGAAGGCCCAGTCCCAATACGCACACTGCACCCTACGCCCTCCTATGAAGTGTGCATGTGTCTGAAGTGCGCAGGTTGCAAGCGTGCACAAAAAGCGGAATTGGGACAGTGCACACTGAGTGCAGGTTACGTCATCGACTCGTCAAGAGATGGTCATTTTCAGACCTAAACTTTATAAACATTAAAGATAATTTTGTCTGACCCTTTGGGAAACAAAATGAATTGCTTCACACACGTTAAAATACATGTATATTAGTTGTTTTTAATTAGAGATAGCTGTATAATTTTAAGTTAAATGTGGGTAACTAACTAGCTGGTCAGTTTTTATACATTCTAAGACTATTGTACTAAGTGTAAAGTTTAAATTGAATGTTACATAAACACTTGATTTAAAAAGTTATTAAATTGTTAAAACACAATGTCCGTAATTCTTCATCAGACGTTTATGCTTCTTTCCAAGTAACATAGCAAAACTTATTTACACACATACTGCATATATATTTCAAAATTTATATTTAAATTCATTTTCCCGATGTTTTGGTGTGTACCGCAAAGAATTATGGGCAATATTCTTCGCCAGAGTGCGCATAGATGCAGGCTACGGCGAAGTGTGGATCGGGGCGCAAAGGGGGCGGGGCCAAAGACCTCCCTGGAGAATTGGGACACCCTACGCACTCGCACCCTTTATCGGGAACGCGCAAATGAGGGGCGCGAGGGTGGAAGTGCGAGTATACATAGTTCCCACAGACCAATGAATGTCACATGACCTCCTCGGAGACGCCATCTTTGATGGCACGCTGCTGTGTTTGTGCATTCCATTAAACAGAAGAATGAGAATAAATGTAGATATTCAAACGCAAATTGGAAAAAAAAGGGCAACTTTTGAGCAAATAATTGTATATTAATACAATGGCACCACAGTTTAACGTGCTACGGACATGTTTTACATATTTGATCAAATTATGCAGCAAAAATTAACAAGCAATGCAAACATTTCTCAAAAACTTTAGATTTAATACCAGTTGGAGCTCCATTTAATTATTTTAATTATATTAACAATTAATTTAATTAATGCTAATGCCACACGGACACTCTGGATTGCTGTTATTGTTTATTTCCGCGTTTTTGACCGTATGTTTTGGTGAATGGTGGGCACAAAGTGCTCCGAGCATATTCTTGCGTGTTTTGAGGGAGTTTCTTGCCTGTTTATCTTCGCAAGCCATAACCTCCGTGGTTGTTCTGACAAAAGCTTAGTCTTCTCACATTCATGAAGTCTAATGATGGGTATACTGTAAAATCCAAGTTTAACGGAACCTCCGGCACGATTTGAACATCCATTGACCCAGCAGGAGATGACCATTTTCAACTTTATCACGACATTAACACGTTTCAGCTTCTTTTTCTATTGTTTTGCCCACAGAATGCCAACACAAATGTCGCCGGGTCGGCAAATCCCCGTATGTAGTGACGTCATGATTTGCCGACCCGGCACCATTTGTGTTGGCATTCTGTGGGCAAAA